GGGAGTTGAACCTGGCAGCCTTGTTGTTAAGAGCGCACACTCTATCTACTGAGCCATCCGGGCAGCAGCTCAGCTCAAGGTGAGGAGTTCAGTCTTAATTGCCAGTGGGCGTAGCCCAGCATCGAACATGCAGTCGTGTTGTTACACCAGTTAAGCCATCCTGTCACCTGTTGGCAGCTCAGCGACAGCTCAGCTCCAGCGCAGTTGTCACTGACCCATGTGGGAATCGAACTGCGGCCCTGTTGCTCAGAGCTCGCGTTCGCGTTCTTAAGCCAACTCTTAACCAACTGAGCCACTTGGCTGGCCCTTCTAAATTCTAAGTTTAAACACAACTGTGTACTCACTCCTTTCCCCTGGCCTATAGATTAGTAGCTGACATTTGCTGAGTGCTTACTGTGTTCTAGGAACTGTTCAAACTGTCATATATACATTATTTTATTTAATACAACAACTTGATAACCATTTTTTGGGGGGTGGGAATTGGGGGAAGGGAACAGTGTTGGGGAATTGGGGAAGGGGAACAGCCAAGTTGTTGTTCTTCTGTCTTAGTTGTGGAAGGCGCCAGTTGCCATCTGGCTGCCCATCAGAAGCTCGTGGCCTCTAAGCTCAAGGTGCTGTGTTACAATCTTAGTTGTGGGTGAGCATAGCCACCATCCCATGCAGTAGTCGAGCCAGCAGCCTTGTTGTTAAGAGTACATGCTCTATCCACTGAGCCATCCGGGTGGGTGGCAGCTCAGCTCAAGGTGCCGAGTTCAGTCTTAGTTGCAGGCGGGCATAGCCCACCATTGAACAGGCAATCTTGTTGTCAGGAACACGTGCTCTCACCAGCTGAACCATCCTGCCACCTGTTGGCAGCTCAGCGGCAGCTCAGCTCAGGCGCAGCATTACTGGCCCATGTGACAATTGCACCAGCAGCCCTGCTGTTCAGAGCTTGTGCTCTTAAGCTAACTCTTAACCAACTGAGCCACTCAGTGGGCCCCCATTGATAACCATTTTATGGTTAGAAAATTGAGGCTTAGAAAGATAATGAAAGTAAGTTTTTCAGCATTATACAGCTAGTAAATTTCTTGTAAAACCAGAATTTGAACCCCAAAGCATATGCTTTGAACGCAAAACATATGCTTTTACCTATTACAGTATGCTACTTAATTTTTTAACACTCTTGTCCAACAACCTGTCATGTTCAAGTTTATTTGCTAATTCTTCAAGGAGATACCATTCCCTTAATTCTTTTAATATGTAATCTACTCCTTTTCTTGGTCTAGCTCAAGAAAACTTAGATCCCTTGGCCTTCACAGTCTACAGTGTATTTTTTTTTAAGTCTTGAAATATCAGCTTTGATATTTAAATTTGAAATGATGTGCTATCTGGATATTGCTTTAAAATAATCCTCTGTGGGTGAGGGGAAGAGATTTTGGGGGGTAGGGTGAAGTTACAGATAGAAAAGAGTTGGCCATATTTTGTTACTTGTCTAAGCTGGATGATAGCTACGTGGACACTTATTGTACTCTTTATTCTATTTTTGTATGTTTTAAGTTTTTCATAATAAAAATTTTAATTAAAAACACCAGCTTACATATTGTGCTGTGAAATAAAGACAGCTGGAGCTATAATTTGTTATATAATATACTTAAATACCATTTCTCAGGCTTGTTTTTTAATTTTTTCTTCTTGTAGAGTGGAGGATATGTTCTTGGCTTTAAAATAGATCCTGTGGAAAAACTACGAGAATCAGTTAAGGAAATCAATTCACTTCACAAAGTCTATTCCGCCAGTCCAATATTTGGAGTGGATTATGAGATGGAAGAAAAGGTAATTTGTTCACTATGTGAAATACAGCATTTGCTAAATTGTTACGCAATCTATATAACATTCAGATGTAAACACATTGTATGTAATTTTATTTTAAACTATGTTTAAAATGATGACTATACAAACTCTGCTCAGTGAGCATGGCCCCTGGGCTGTCACTGATTTGTGCTTACCATGCATCTTCTCACTGGCTGCTTCATCATTTCTTCCTGTCCTTCTAGAAGAGCAGCCTATCCTGAGACATCTCCTCCATATGCAGGGCTCCTCTGATGTACATAGACTTGAATCTCTCACTCTGTCAGCTTTCTTTTTATTCTATTCCAGCCCCCCATTAGCATGGGCAACCTTAAAGGCCTCATGGACACCATTTCCTTCCCCCAAAGCCCTACAGTATAGCAGCTCCAGGAGTCGGCTCCACCAATATGGCCTGTGTCTGTTCTTATCATCAGTGCCTCTGCCACACCACTTATGAAGTGTCTTGAATATCACTCCTACATGCCTGCTCTTTGCCTTCTTTATGATTTCTGGCTTCTGCAACCAATCTCTGCTGTCCAAGTACGTCAGTTCTCTTTGGCTTTATTCTTCAAACTTTCCAGCTGGGACCCTTGTCATCTGGTCTATCACTGTGTACCTACCAGCCACTGCATTAGAGATGCCCTCACTGTCTGCTCAATCAGTGGTACCCTTGCCACAGGCTGTCTCTGGTGCCCTCACTGATTGCTCTATCACAGGTTCTCTTGCTATCTCTTCTTTTGGGCCCTCACTCTACACTCTGTTGCTGGTGTCCTTGTCATCTACTCCTTCATCAGTGACCCTGCTGGTACTTAGCATGTCGAGCCATATCACACATCACATATATGATCTATCTCTCTGCTTCTGCTCTTGGACTACAGCATGTGATGAGAGATCATGAAGTAGGGCTGGGCAGCTAAGTGCAAATTCGCACCCTCTGACTTCAGCCAGGCCCTTGTTGCCTGGTAGTGCTCTTTGTACTTAATTTTTCTTGCTGCCTGCCAAACTCTATATATATGTCCCCTTCCCCTGCCAGCTGAAACTTTTCTCTGGGTTTTTGGTGTTGTATTTCACATATACTCCATGGATTTCATCTCCTTAACCATCCTCATGTTTTCTTCCCAACCTGCACTTCTTTCAGCATTCTCCCTTTCACTCCGCCTTCTCTGTGTATTCCTCAGTAATGGCACCTGCTCCTCCAGTTTCTTCAACTTGTACTTCCATAGATGACTCCAAAATCTATCTATCTGATCTTGTCACATACTCCCAGCTTATCATGGTTCTAAATATTCTTGAATGTTTCACATAAATGAGCATTCAAATAATGTAAGTTGAATTTCTCATTTAAAAGTTTACCTTAGTAATTAGGTAAATAATTTTCCAAGTCAGTAAGATGCACTAGGACTTGGTTAAGTATCTTAAATTTCACATACCTAAAATGGCATCATTTTTCACAAAAGCAGCATCCTGCTGATTTATCTATGTATTTACTATTTATTTTCAGCATTGTCAAAGTTAGCTGTGCTCAAAACCTTGGAGTTTTCCTTTTTTATTTTTCCCATTATCTTATTTTACACTTTCAGTCAATTATACCAGTCTCTTCTCTGTTCCTATACCTTCCTTTCCATACAAACCTGACTTCAATCCCAATTTCACCATTTATTTGTGATCCTAGGCAAATCTGAATTTCAGTTTTCTCATTATAAAATGAAGATAATTTCTCTTACAAAGTTATTGATCATGTCCATAAAATGCCTGGCACATGGGAGACACTGAACATGGTAGCTCTTCTGCCCATTGTCTCTCTACCTTTCATTTCTCCTCCTTTCCCCTTCTTTGGCCCCAGTACATAATAATAGCCAGCCCTAATAGCTCACTCTGTCACCTCATGTAAGTTCCTACTCCAAAGCTACCTCTTCAGGGAACTCTTCCCTGACTATCCATCTAAAACAGCAAGCCCCATCGCTTTTTTTGTCCCATATTGGGCTGGCTTGCTTTATTTCTGGTAACACTATAATCAGTCTCCTCTATTAATAATCTCCATGAAGTCAGGGATTTTTGTCTATTTTCTTTAACTACCATATCTCCAGCAATCTAAGCTGGCACATAATAGGTTCTTTTTTTAAAAAAAGATTTTTGTTGGGGAATTGGGGGGATGGGAACAGTGCTGGGGAATTGGGGGAAGGGGAACAGACAAGTTGTTGTCCTTTTGTTCTTCAGTCTAGTTGTG